ACCGGAGGGGGCAGGCTTGCAGGGTATACCCTTTGGTTGTTTGATGATGCATAGAGGGGATTATAACCATGGAAATTAAACAATATACGATAGGTTGAATGTAAAACTAATGTTCTCCCATGTAAACTATCACATAATTCACAATAAAGCGTTAAAAAAAAAAGAGTCTATATTATTAACTGGTACTCTTATCAGAAAGCAAATGAAAAAAACAATAAACTACCCTGCAGGATTGGATGGAAATGTTTTAGATGGAGAAAAAAGTGGTATCTTTGGAAATCACACAGTTGGAGTTAATAGAACTAAAAATTGACAGAATATACCCGAGAAGAGATATTACTACAATCTGAACATGTCCTCAATGGTGAAGAGACAGTGTGAAATGAAAGGGGCTTTTAGAGGACCTCCTAATCAAACATGTTTTAGATGGGTTCTACTCAGCCTGAAGCGGAGTAACACTCAGACCAAGAAATCAAAGTGACTGATGTGCTTCAATCTAAGGAATTTGCAACAGTCTGTCCAAATAGGAAATATTTTATCTCAAGAAGGACCTATTTCTGCTTCAGGAAATATTCATTCAGAACTCATATGTAATACAAAAGAAATCTGTGAAGGGAATTAAAATCTGATAGATGGTTGGACAAGATTACTTTTTAAAGACCTTTCCCTGATCTCAGATCATTTACTCTACATTTTCACTCCAAGAAAGTAAAGTACTTACAAGATAACAATGCCACACCCAGTAATATTGCCAGGATTGCCCATTCTCCAAGACGTATTCCTCCACTCCTGGAAGCTGCTCGACACTGACTTGGATGAACACAATCACATAGATTAATTCTCAAGATTTTTGTTGCAGATTGACCTGCTCTGTCTTTTACAGTAATAGGAACATTATATTCTTGAAATTGAGCATTATTTCTATATGAAAGACGGGCAGCTGTATCTGAAAAAGAAAAAAAAACCTTATTTTTAAATCATCATTTATTCCTTCTTTAGTAGTTGGTTCACCACACTTATTTTAAAGGTAGGATTCTCAGGATTCTGCCTGCCACATGTGAAAGAATATAAATGCAGAACTACCTTCAATCTTTTCAAGCACTAATACTGTATTGTATGTGTTACACTGCTGCTGTTGTCTGTTAAGTGCCTTTGAGTCCATTCCAACTCATGGCAACCCTTTACTGTATAGGGCTTCTAAGGAACAGCTGATGAATTTGAACTGCACTTCAAACTGAAATTGTGGTCCAGTGAGTATCCTATAGCACCACACCAGGACTCCATATTCACTATAAATTTTAGAAGAAAGCCTTAAAGACATAATTTTGCATTGGAGAGACCCACCAGCACTTAAGCAATACTTATAATATTCTCATAGTCACACAAATTAATGATGCTAAGTTGACTCCTAACAGATACTACAAGGACTTTGCTGTAGTACTAGTTTAAAATTAACACCTACAGATACACACAAAGTATGTCTTCAATTCACATTCTATCTATTTATTTTCTGGTCTTCACTCATTATCCTTATGGATAATGCAATTTTTTAAAGCACAGCACACCTTTCATGATTAATGTCTTATCTCTGGAAGCAAGCGCAAAAAGAGAAAGCCAGTTATAAGACTTCCACAAGAATAGATATGTCTATACTGTTAACAAAACATTTAGTCCTCTGTGATTTTTACCCCAAATAGTCTTGTTATCTTATTTTCTAGCCTTTTTATCAACTAGCCAAAAGGGCCACAGACCTTCAATGACAAATACATCCATCTACAGTTTTTGTAATAGATTAAGTGAAATGAAAAAGTAGCATAAAGCACATTCTGGAATTCGTCTGTAATTTCTAATTAGACTTGCTTAAATGTATAGTTACAGCCATAATTAATAATAATAGCCATAGCCCCTTCAAAGATTCTAGCTGCACCTGGTACCTGAGAGAGCTCCCCTCCAGAATGTACCCCACTACTGAAATTTACCTGTGACCCATCAGTAGATACCTGTCTAGAGTGACCAGTACCACTTCCTGTCAGGTCAATTCCAACTCAGAACAACCACCAGTGTGTTAGGGTAGAACTGTGCTCCATAGGGCTTTTAATGTTTGATTTTTTTCAAAAGTATATTGCCAAGACTTATTTACAAGGCATTTCTGGGTAGACCCAAGCTTCCAAACTTTTGGTTAGAGATTGAGCACACTAATCATTTGTACCAAAATTCTCAAAATCCCTCTCCACTCTCAAAATCATAAGTTTGAGTATAGGACATAGTCTCATCTCATTAATTCATAGAAGCCTGGAGTTTTCCCTGCCATTCAACTGTGTTCTCTTCTGTTGCCAACGTTACTTTTTTAAGACATAAATCTGGCTATGGTACTGCCATACTTGCACACTCCCAATGTCTACCTGCTGTCACTTATAGTACAAGATCAGTCTTTATCGAATGCATGAGGCCGTTTACTACCAGATTCTACCTTTTTTTCTACCCCAACTCCTGGCATTCTTATGAAAACTTCTTAAGTTCTAACAACACCAAATTACTGTTCCTATAACATTTTTTCTTTGATCTGTACCATTAATAATTCCTTGATAAAACAGAAAACTGATTTATTAACCAATTAGAATCTGCTAAATACTGAACTAGGTGCTGATGTTGAAATACAACATAAATGACAAATATTCTGGAAAACTCATGCATTTGTGGAGAGGGGTATAATACAGTGTGAAGCGTGATATAAAAACACCCTGTGCCACTCCGTCTACTTAAAGAAATAATTCATATGGAGTAAGCAGCTGAGCTAGAGTCCTATTTGTCTTGTATACATATCCATCCATCCTTAGGAGTGTCTGGGCAGTGTAAATGGTTGATGTACTTCACTGTTAATTGAAAGTTGGAAGTCTGAGTCCACCTAGAGGTGACCTAATGAAAACTCAGTCACTGAAAGTCCTATGGAGTATATTTCTATTGCAACAGACATGGATTCACCATGAGTTGGAAGAGTTGACAATTGGTTATAGATACTCTCAAGATCAGCATAGTACCTGGTAGACAGTAGGTCCTCCATAAAATTATGAGTTAATATTGAGCTACAAAGTTGGAAGAAAGGTATTCCAGGCAGAAGTAAAATCATATACAAAAGTTTAGCTGCATTAAAATAACATGACATATTAACAAAGCAGCAGAGTGAAGTGTGGCTGAAATATAAACTATTATAGCTCCTCTCTCCTCCCTTCCCCATTCCCAGCAGGCTTGGTCACAAGACAGTGCCCTTAAAAGCTCTACTTCTGCACACCTATCCATATCCCACCATGATCCCTTCCAGGATATCATAGAATGATTGTCTCATACATCCAAAACCCTCATTTCTAGATCTTTCTATGTTGTTGTTGTTAGGTGCCATCTAGTCCTTACTGACTCATAGCGACCCTATGCACAACAGAATGAAACACTACCCAGCCCTGGACCAACCACACAATTGTTGCCAGACTTGAGCCCATTGATGCTGCCACTTTGCCAATCCATCTTGTTGGGGGTCTTCCTCTTTTTCTCTGACCCTCCACCTTACCAAACATGATAGCCTTCTCCAGTGACTGGTCCCTCCTGACAATATGTCCGAAGTATGAGAGGCGAAGTTTGGCCATTTTGACCTCCAAAGAACACTCTGGCTGCACTT